AGTCTGAGAAACCCAGTTTGGATCCTTCCACCATTTTTCCTTTTTGTAATTTTTGTTTCCATAAGGAACCACACAGACTAGTTACAAGTTCTTCAAGTTAAAGATGTGTAATAAATGTCTGCTGTTGGTTTATTTAAAATGGAGACTTTCTCCTCCATTTTATAGTAAGAGCATTAAAAAAAAAGATTCTTTGACTTCGCAGGAAAAACTAACTTTTGGGATGAAGCTACCAGGAAAGATTTTCCCTACTATTTATAACTCTTACGTTTTACGAATTTTTTTTTTTTTTTTTTTTTAGTGCTGCATTATCAAATGTCTCTTCAGTAGCAGCTGAGTTTGTAAGTAATCAGTTGGCTGTTTCCCTGGGTTTTATCATTCAACTGTTCCATGCTCACTCATGTGGGTTCTGCTTATGAAGAGTTATTTCCTAATTGTAGGCTGCTTCATTAAAGAGAGGTTTGGGGACCACTTTTACCAGTCAACGGTATAGCTGATATAGCAATTTTTAAGATCTAGAGCTAATAGGAACTAACTGGACTCACTGATGAAATAATTTTACAAATTATGATGTTTACCTCCATTACTTAAAACATCTTAATTGTGAATACAGGTTCTACCTACTTATATAGAGTTGGACACCATAATAAAAATGTAGAGTTATTTGATGCTTTGGCCAAGTGGCTCAATTGGTTGGAGCATTGCCTGTACACTGAAACATTACGGGTTTGATTCCTAGTCAGGGCATATACCTAGGTTGTGGGTTCAACACCTGGTTGGGGAGTGTACAGGAGGCTACCGATCGAAGTTTCTCTCTCACAGCAATGTTTCCCTTACTCTCTCTGTTTCCCTTCCTCTCTCTCTAAAATAAATAAATAAGTTATTTGAGGATTATTGTGAATAACTAGTAACTCTCTTCTTGTAAACAATGGCTTTCTTAAAAAGGAAAGGGCTTTTTAAAATTCTGTTTGTAACTGTGGAAGAGATGCCATCACAGAAATGGAAAAAAATTAGCTAACATGTTTGATTTAAAAAATTATTCTTACAGTAGCAAAATAAAACATAATCACTAATTGATACTACAGAGTATGATAATTTAAGAGTATGTATCACTTTCCTACCTTACCTCATTTACTTTTGTCAACAGGAAATATGTAGCAGCTAGTTAGTACATTTATGTTTCTGTTTTTAAATGGCCATTATACAGTCTTATAATTTTCTTGCATTTCCCCTTTTAGATGCTCCCTTAATAATTATGTTTTTCTCAACCTGGCTTGTGTGGCTCAGTGGATTGAGTGCCAACCTGCCAACCAAAGGGTCACCTGTTTTCATTCCCAGTCAGGACACATGCCTGGGTTGCAGGCCAGGTCCCCAGGAGGGGGCATATGAGAGTCAGCAACACATTGATGTTTGTTTCCCTCTTTCTCCCTCCCTTCCCCTCTAAAAATAAATAAAATCTTTTAAAAAAAATTGTTTTTCTTTACTTAAAATTCTTAGATTACATGTGGTACTTTGCATAAAATAGTACAGCAACTTTTTTTTAGTGTTTTGTTCATTCCATATATTATTATGCTAAGAATTTATACAGATTTCATAAAAATTTTAACCCTGAAATTCATGGTAATATTTCTATGCATTATTCTTAGGTAACAAAACTGAGACCTGGAGAGGTTAATCATCTTGCCCAAGGGCACTCAGCTTGCATATGTTTTAGTTGGGTAAAATTTTAAGTTGGTGCTAATCTAAAACCTCCAACTCTTTACCCCTGCTTCTTAGATCTCTGATGATTCACTAACATTTTCGTGAGTGTCTGTGATTTTTCATCAAATATCTTTACTTTTGAAATTTTAATTAAAAAATAATTTAAAACTTAGTATAACTATACTTTGGATGACAGGGAAGACCACGATGTAAATAAATACAGGGTGGGCAGAAGTAGGTTTACAGCTCTGAGTGTATGAAACAGAACTTATTCTTATAGTATTATTATCTTATTTTCTATACGAACTGTAAACTTACTTTTGCCTGACCCTATACTTTCAACTGACTTGAATGCCCATATTTTTGTGTTTATAATTGAGTTGGAATCAGCTATAAATCTTAAATTGCCCTGGGCTACAGTACAGAAACAAATTAATGATTCATAGATGCCAGGTACAGGCCAAATATTGTGATTGCTTGCCTCTGAAACAGAGGTTTTAGAAAATTAGACTAGAAAAAAAGAGAAAATCAAGTTATCACATAGCAATATTGGTATTTCAAATTAAAACTTTGTGCTGTATTAATTTCCCATGATGACTCAGGCTCTGCAAAACAATATTCTTTGCTCCATTAAAATTAATGTTAATTTAAAATATTTTAGTTTAATTTCAATTTTTACAGTTTAATAGTTAGAAAATACCTATTAGCATAGGTTTACACCAAGTTTTCTACTTACACATAGCACATATCGGAGTAACCTTATAATAAAAATAATTTATCACATTGGGTATCACAATTCTTACAAGCTGTACCTGTATTATTCAAGATTGACAAACACTACTATATAATCTGAATGGCTGGCATATGATAGGAACTTGATAAATGTTAATTAGAGTTTTAATTATTTATTTAGGTTGTGCATATTTATTCATTTGATTGACTCAGCCAAATAACCTAAGAGTCACTTTCTTCCTCATAATAAATGCACTGAATTCACAGTGAGGAGTTTTAAGGGTTCTTAGACTTTTCACTAGGAACCCCTTAGAGTATGTTATAAAATCCATGGGCCCTCTCTCCCCCGCAAAATGGATATATAAAAATATTACATACAATGTAAAAAACTTTATATATTAAAAAGAGACTCTGAAATAAGATATAATTTGTGAAATCTAAGGCAACCTCTCTTTAAAGCTTCCATTTCCTCATCTGTAACACACAAATACCACCTATCTCATGTTTTGCACATTGAGTGAAATCATGTTAATTATGGTGCTTGCAATTTAGTAATGCCAAATTAAGTGATAGTTATAATTATTATCAAGCCAACACCAACCTCTTATTTTATCTCTAATTATTGTTGTTTGAGGTTTTCTTCTGCTGATTGTTCTAGCCACTTTCTAGTTTCCAAAAATATTTTTTTTCTTTCTATTGGTTACCTCATTTATTTGACTTTTCCTTTTGGGTTATTTTTATAGATGATACCGAACAATGAAAGAGTAACAACATCTTTAATGTTTGGTTCAGAATATTAAGAGGCTTTTAATATTGTTGTGATTGATTCCAAAGGTGAAGAGTAATAAACAGAAATTGATTATAAGGACAAGAATACTTGAAGAGCAAAATACGGTTCACAAATTTAAACTAGAAATCTGATACATACTTGTGGCATACAAGGAAATGGGAGAAATTATACTACATCTGCATTCCATAGTTTTCTTGAGAACTAAATGACAGTAAAACACAATGAATAGCACATAACTGAGATTTACTCACATTTGAAAAATGAATGATAAATGGATACCAAGTCAGAACAGAACATTGTGTTAAGATGAAGCATTTATTCTACTATTCTCGAAACTGGTTATATTAAAAACATATCTTTATGTTAATATCTGGAAACAGAAAACAAAAACAATACAGAAAATTTACAGAGTCAGGCCCTGGCTGGTGTGGCTCAGGACTGAGTGCCAGCCTGCGAACCAAAGGGTAGCCAGTTTGATTCCTAGTCAGGGCACATGCCTGGGTTGTGGGCCAGGTCCCCAGTAAGGGGCGCATGAGAGGCAACCACACATTGATGTTTCTCTCCCTCTCTAAAAATAAAAAAAAAAAATTTACAGTCAGGAAGAGTGCCATTTGGAAACTCCCAATTAGAGATCTTTATAAACTCTAAGACTGTCCAAATTCTTTTATTTTCCTTTATTTTTATTGTCATTTTGGTGTGTTTTTCCCCTAGGAGAGTATTGTTTTATTTTTTGACCAAAGATCAGCATTTGATGAACTTATAATCTTTAGAGCACCATGATGCTGGCTCTCTCCATCTAGCCTCTGACTTCTCTGCCCAGATCATAATTAGTGCATTTGTGAATTCTGGTATTTTTAAGCATTAGATATTGCATTCAATGTATAGGTGACAGGCTGAAGATAAAAATACCAAGTTGTTATTGGTTGTTGAACAAAGCTTCGTTTCTCGATTCTTGACCTGACAACCCTTTTATGCAGATACCTGTATCATCAGTTACACGTAGATCTCAGGTGACAAAGGAGATTTGTTTTTTGAGCAAATTATTTCAAACAGGTTTCTAGAACGAATTAAGTTGGAGAACTGAGGTTCACTATGTTTTGGTTATTTTGTTTGATCTAGTGTCACTGTAATCATCATGAGATTTTTCGAAACACTGAAGAGAAGCTTAGAATTCTCAAGGATTGTAAAATGCTTTTATTAGTAAACAGTAACCTCAATTTGTAGAACATCTCAGAAAGTGATTTTAAGAATATGTACAATGAAACATGTCCCCCTCCCCAGAATTATGACATTATTAGAGATAGTGGTCATTTGCCATCACAACTCTCATTTTTAGAATGGCAAATGCTTCATTTAAAAGTACAGTATGTTCTGTTTTTTAAAACTTTTTTTAGATCTTATGTTATGATCCTATGCAATTTCTAAAAATACACATAGAAGCGGAGTCTGTAATCCAGTAAGTTTTTATTAGTTCTATTGAATGTAACAGACTGGAAAGATGAGCTAAAAACTTTCTTCCCTTTATATTTTGAAAGATTTCAGAGTTGTACACTAGTATGTTTAATGTTACTGACTTAAGCCGTGGCAACTTAAGGCATCCAGGTATATGTATTAATTAGTGGAATATTTGTCATTCTTATTGCACAGACTGTTATAACTGTTTTTGTTTAAATGAAACTATTGCTATCATGTGTCCTCACAGAAAATTTCTAATGTAGTTTTTGAGAACTAAATGAACTATTCATGTCTACATAGATAATTGACACAAAGTTCTTTTGAAATTATTAACCAAGTTACCTACATTTGACTTCAAAAGCTGCTGTTTCTGATGTTTACTGAACAAATGTAATTTTTTGTGCTAAACTTTTGACTGTTCAAGCACTGTAATGTGAGATGGATAGTTAGAAACAATAACATATTAAGGTTTCTATTTAATCCTTTTGGTTTGCAGGCTAGCACTCAGTCCACTGAGCCACACCAGCCAGGGCTTTCTCTATTTAATCCTTTTGGGACTGAACTGTATCTCTTTAAAGATTTTTTTTTTCCTTTTAGGATGTTTGCCAGGATTCAGTACTGTTGATTTAGAGGTAGGTTTATATGCTCATTTTTAGCTTATTTCTTTTAACTTGCAGAATGCTCTACACATTCAGTCCTTAAGAGGGTAATTTTACAATGTGTACTCTAAGGTTTATTAGCCATCAGATGGAAAATTGAGTAAGGTTATACCATATTTTGTAGAAAAATCTGCTCAGTTTCCTATTTCATCCATGAACAATTTGCAATGTGAGCAGTTTTAAGGAATAAAAAATGTGAAAACAAAAAAAAGCAATGTAAAAATTTTAGGTTAAACATAAAATGTTCCCAAGTGCAGGAATCCCTGAATTGAATGGAATCAGTTTGAAGTAATGTAACAGTGGAAAATTGTAACACTGGGGAATTCTAACCCACCTCACCATTCTTTTGACATTGTTTCTGTACTTACTCTGACTAATATGTAGCTTATAGATAAACAGTGTGTTTGTCTAAGAATCCTAGGAACTAACTTCAAAAGATACAGACTCTGACCTTCAGGCACCCAGCTCTAGATTTGCTGACTTTCAACCATGGAGTCAGGATGACGTAAAACCAGGATGATGTGAAGCCAGGGTGACTAAACCAGAATGGTGCACACCATACCATCACCTGCCTTATCAGAATGGACTGGGCTCACCTGTATGTAAAGAACTTTTTAGCACCCTCCCTTGATCTCTTTGGTCTTTCCCCCTCTCCCTCCTTATGAAAAACCTCTGCCTCCACTGAGATGTAGAAGGTGGGCTTTGATATGTGAGTCCCCCATCTTTCCAGAAGATAGGCGTTGAGACAGGAGTCCCCCACCTTCTCAGGAGATGGTCTTTGAGATGAGTCCCTCATCTTCCCGATGGTCAGCATCTGCAAATAAACCACTTTATTTTACATCATCACCTGCCTTTTCGGTATTGATTTTCATAGAGACAGGCAGCTAGACCTGCATTCAGTTACAGTTAGGGATTTTTTTTAGATTGCTTCTCCCATGCCCAAGGTTTTCTTGGAAGCTATATACTTCATAATCTCCATTATGTCACTGTCTTTATAATCTTCATTTTAATTTATACAGAATGTATTTTCACTTCAAGTATAAATTCCTTAGTTTAAAAAAATGTACTAGCCCTGGCCAGTGTGGCTCAGTTGGTGGGAGCATCGTTTGTATACTGGAAGATTGTGGGTTTGATTCCCACTCAACACACATACCTAGGTTGCACTGCCAGTCAGGGTGCCTACAAGGCACAACCAACTGATGTTTCTCTTTCGCATCAATGTTTCTGTTTCCCCCACTTCCTTTCTCCCTAAAAGCAATGAAAAAAATGTCCTCAGATAAGGATAAAATTTAAAAAAAAATTGTTAACATTCAGCATTTGAATGGCTATCACTAACGCCAATACTATTTAAGCAGGTAACTCTTTCATGAACGTACTGTATGTACATAAATTATTTTCATTCTGTCATTTCAGTATTTACATTGTTTCTCATTTAAAGATTTCAGTTAATTTTTCATTGCTAGCAAACATATATTGGTAGACCAGGTGTGAATTTTAAATTAATTTGTGATTATATATTCATTAAATCTGGTAACTTTGGGGGGAGTAATTTTACTTTAAGTGGAAAATACCTTATATTTCATATGTAGGATAGAATAATTGGTGTTTTTACGTAAGCTTAATCATGTATTTAAACATTTAACAAAGTTAAGAAAGCAGAGTAAAAAGTATTTTGTTGAGTTTTTTGCATGTGGAAAAAAATAAACTTTTATTGTATGAATTTGAATGCGTAACAAATTACAACACATTAATTTTGAGATGACTCATAATTTAAAATAATTATCGTTGAAAGATGAGAATGGCAACATCGGGTTATAAGAGGGGATATTAAAAATGTACTGCAAATGATTCTATTTAATTTTATTTTTGTTTTTCCTTTTGGTGTTGACTAAACCTTGGAATGGACTGGTTAGCAGTGATTTATCAAAAGCCATCTATTTGAACTCTTCTGCCTGAAATTTAAAATACTCCAAAAACCTTATTCCAAGATAAATTCCACTAGCCCCCTCTGCTTATCTTAGGCTGGTTCTAGATGCTGGCCCATGCTTATTTCTGCTTCTGAGTTGACTGAATTCTATCTCCCCTAAATTTATGAGGTTCTAATCCCCAGTGCCTTATTTGGAGGTAGGACCTTTAAAAAGGTAATTAAGGTTAAATAAGGTCATATGGGTATGCTCTAACTCAGTACGACTGGTGTCCCATAAAAAGGGGAAATTTGGAGACAGACTGGCATATAGAGAGAACACTATGTGACTATGAAACAGCCATCTACAAGCCAAGGACAGAGTCCCTTGGAAGAAACTAACCTTGTTTTGGACTACTAGCTTCCAGAACTGTGAGGAAATAAAACTTGTTGAAGCCACCCAGTCTGCGGTATGTTGTTATGGCAGCCTTAGCTGCCACTGCTCATGTTCTTCTCCTGAGTGTCCCCCCCCTCTCATCCACATCTATCCAAATTATGTCGTTTAATATGGAACGTAAACAGCCACTTAGTGAAGTTCTCTCCCTGACACACCAGTCCTTTCTCACTTCCCTTCTCTGATCTAGCAGAGAATTCTGTACCACAGATTTTAGCAATTCCCAGAACATAAAGTAAATGTAAGAATTTCATGAGTTAATATAGGTAAAATGCTTAAAATAGTGCCTGACAGGTAGTGTTTGCTCTATCTGTTGCTGCCATTACTATTTCCTAATTCTATTTTTCTCTAATAAAATTATGTCACTACTGACTTTTTAGTATAATGCTGGTCGTGCAAATGCTAAAAACACTTGTTGATGTATGAAACATTTAGGAGAAAAATGAGACATAGTTCTTGCCCTTAAGAAGGTCATTGTGTAGCAGGGGAAAATTCAATTCTTAAGTGAAAAAAAATGGGTTCAGAAAAATTTCACAAAGATGAGTCCTAAAGGAAGATGTATGAGTTATCTATTGCTGTATAACAAATTAACCCAAACCACAGCAGCTTAAAACAAGTATTTATTATCTCAGATACAGGAGGGGGTTAGTTAGGTGGTTCTGGTTCAGTGTCTCTTATGAGATTAGTTAAACTGTTGGCTGGGGCTAGAGTAATCTCAAGGGGGCCCAAAGATTTGCTTCTTAGCGCACTCATGTGTGGCTGTTGGCAAGTTTTAGTTCCTTATTGGCTGTTAAAGATTTCATTTCTTGGGCACACAGACTTCTTTATAGGGTGCCTGAATGTCCTAGGACCTGACAGCTGGCTCCCCTCAGTGATTCAGTAGAGTATGCATAAGAAAGTCCCAACACCTTTTATGACCTAGTCTCAGAGTCACAGGACTTCCACCTTAACCTATTTATTACAGGAAAGTCATTAAGACCAACCTGCCCTCAGAAAAAAAGTGAATTAAGTTCCACTTCTTGATGAATGGAATATCAAAGAATTTGTGGACATATTTTAAAAACCAGCATAAAAGACTAAGGAGAAATTTGTTAAGACATTTTTAAGGAAGCAAGAGGTCACTCAAAGTAGAGGGAAGAAAACTGCAAGGGCACAAAATATGGAATTTTGGGATGTAACCACAAGTAGTACCTGAGGCTGAAAATGTTGGAAGGTGTTATTTGAAGAAGGTCTTTATACCTCATGAACAGAAGTTTGCACTTTTATCCTGCAGGTGAGAAGGCATTATTATAAAGATTTTATGCAGGGGAGTCTACTAAGATGTGCACTGTAGAAACTGGTGGTAGTTTGGAAGACTGGAGAGAAGTAAAACTTAATAAAGACCAATTAAACAATCTCTTTCCAAAGTTTAGATGAGATATTATGAATAAATTATTAAGAGAATGGCTGATAAACTGGTGAGGTAAGGAGGGATACTAGACATATTTAGAAGGTAAAATTATGTAAGAATTAGCAATTAGTAATGGGATGTAAGGAAAAAAGGGTATCAGGCTTGACAACTGAGTATGTGGTACTATTTCCCCAAATTATTCACTTGCTTCTTTAAAGATAAGCTTTTAATTAGTATTATTAAAAAATATTTAGGCTATGAAAGTTAAAAAACTATGAAATGAAATAAAAATTACTGCAATAGTCACTTCTGCAAAGTTGAATTAATACCACATACATACCCTGTTAGTCCTTTGAAAACTTACAAATTTTTACAAAATTGGAATTATATTTCAAAACTTTTTTCACACTTAATATATCATGTCAAAATTTCCTCCACTTAAAAATTCATCATTTTTAAAGGCTGAATACTGTTATGTTGTATAGATGTAGTTTAAATTAACCAATATTCTAGTAAACAATGCAGTAATGAAGTCTTGCAATAAAGTTGTTACACATATCCTTATGATACACTTCCATTAGAGGAATTCCTTTGTCAAATGATCATGCTCAAAGCTTTTGATACATATTGCTAGGCTGCACTCTAGAAATGTGCCAATTTATACTCTCAGTAGTATAAGAAACCCTGTTTCTCTGAACACTTGCCTGCATTTTGAAGATTTAATCACTTGCTAAAATAACACCTGAAAACCAAACTATTGTGTAACATGTTACATCACTCTTAAGTCTTACTATTAAACTTTTATAATTATTACTATTCAAAGCTTAATGTGTTTTTAGCTGAAGAATCTGAGGTCCGTTATATAATAAATCAGACTACTATTTAGCGGGAGTTTCTGCCATAGATATTACACTGTAGTGCTCTTCCTGATTTGCCACTCTGTCTCACCAGTTGTTTTTGTTTTTTCTGGAAATAACCTTTTACGTTTCCCAGAAAAAGGCACTTATCGTCATCATTAAGGGCTGGAAGCATGGAATATTCCATTACTTTAGCACTATTTTTCCTAGCTGCTTCTTAACTTGGATTTTACACATTATGTTTTGAAGGAAAGCTTTGAAGACATTTACCTAAAAAAAAAAAAAAAAAGTCTACCTAATCTTGGATAAGGATCTATTTTATTCATTCAATGGCCATTTATTCACTGTCTCATACATTAAACAGTACTTATCTAATGTCTACCATGTGTGGAGGATAAAGCAGTGAACAAAACAAAGGTAGTCCCTGCTTTCATGAAACTTAGATTTTCAGTAAGGTGAAGGGAAACACAAAATAAAGAGATAATGAGAAATTATAAATGCCGTGAGAGAGACTAAATGGAAAAAAGAGCAACTTTAGAAAAGGTGGCCAGGGAAGGAGTGTTAAGAGATAATATGTGAGTTAAGACCTAACAGATGAGAATGAGTTAGTCATATAAAGAAAGCATAGCTCAGGCAGAAATAAAAAATGCAAAGAGCCTGCGATGGAGCAGCAGTTAAGTTTAACTGAGTACAAGAAACCCTAAACTGTAGCTGTAATGACAGTTTACTTTTTCTTTATGTCAAAATCTGAACATAAGGAGTGCAGGGCTGGTATGGTGCTCCACAAATGTCTCAAGGCCCCAGGTTTCTGCCAGCTTAAGGTTTTGCAATCCTAGGATGGGGGAACTTGCACATGGCCCAAACTAGCAGCTAGAGTTAGAGGCTATCATATCTGTCCTCGAGGGTACAGGATATAAAAGGAAAAGCAGCAAAAGACTGAAGGTGTCAAACAACTGTCTTTTAAGGATGGTTCTGAAAGGGTGCCACATGACATACCTGGTTATTGGCCAGAACTACCACATGGCTACAGGTAGGCTGGAAATACAGTATTTATTCTGGACAGTCATATATGCCGATGTCTATATATTACTATGAAAATAATGGGAGAATTTTTAGAGTACAACTAATAGTCTCTGCTACAGACTGGAAAAAGATTGGCACATAATAGAGACAGAAAGGAAGGGTAAGAACAAGATGAAGTTGGAGAGGTAAACAAGCCAGATTATACAGTTTTAAAGGCCATGGTAAAGAAACTGGACTTTATTCTACACTAAGGGAAACCACTGGAGGACGTTAAACAAGGGAGTAATGCAGCCTCATGAACTTTTTAAAATGATCACTCTGGCTGGTTTACACAGAATGGTTTGAAGAGGCACGAGGAAAAGTAGAAGCAGAGAGATAGTTTGGATATGCTGAGTGAGAGAGAACGGTATTTTGGACAGGGTGGTGGCATGAGAGGTGATGTGAAGTGGCTGAATTCAGAATACATGCAAGGAAGAGCTAATGATACTGGATGATGTGTTGAACCTAGAGTGTGAAGAATCACAGAAGACACCTGGTTTTATGCCTTGAGCAAGTAAGTAAACAATTGGTGGTACTGTTTATGGAAGGACAGATTACATCCAAATGTTGTTTCAGTACTTGTTAAATTTGGGGTATCTGTCCTTTTTCAGAAGTGTCTAAACCTTCTAAAAATGTGAGGCCTCCCGTTCCTACAACTAGTTATTTACAAACTCATTCTCTTAAGGACTTTCCCCCTCACTTTAAACCAGTACTTTTTCTATAAGGTGGGTAAGGAATTTATCTTACATACATTTCAACACACAAAGCACATACAAGGTGTGGACTGTTTTTCAGTTAAAAAAAAATCCATCGAAGTAAATAGTTAAAAACTATAAAATTTGATTAATATTAGCAATAATAATGAACATTTAAATGCAATAGGACAATTTAAAAAATACACTGTTCAAAGTGTTTACTTGAAAGCCACAAACGTAAGCCCCTAACAAGTCTCTGCTCATTAATATCTAGAACCAATGACTAGGGTAGATATTAAACAAGCTTTACAAATATATGACAGATTGGACACCAGTAATAGAACAAATTAAAGTTTGCTCAACAATACTTAAACTTATTCTAAACAAATAATTTTCTCAGGAAAGAAACAGTATCTATGTGTGTTTTTCCTAATGCTCCCACCTTACACATTTACCATGAAAATGTTTTATCTTTTCCGTAAAAAACCCAAGGTAATGAAATCCTCAAATTAGACCTGTCCCTTTCTGGAAGTGATTTCTCCAATTTTACCAACGTTTATGCTATTTAAAACTTGTGGGGTTTTTTTTTGAGTAAATACAGAATGTTAATAATGTCTATTTTTTGTTCTTCATAAAATCTTATATATAAGTCAAACCACCAATAGGTTAAGTGGTGATACCTGAAGCAACTATACACATACACAAACATATCTCATTTTTTAAATTTCACCTTATGATTCCACATAGTAATAGCTATACTTTCAAGTTATTAACAGTATAAAATGCTTAAAGAACATCAGAATGTTAACTCTAATTAATCTCCCAATAGTAAAAAAAAAAAAGCTCAGCAATACACATATGTACACACATGTATTCGTATACCTGTATGTATTGCATTTACTTAGAGGTGTATGCAGTCTTTAACACACCATCTTACATAGCAGAAGAGAACGCTGAAGAGGCAGGCCAGCCGGCACTGTTGGGGAAAAGGTAGGGAATAATATAAAGAAGTGTTGTTCCCCTTGAGCTTTCCTAATGTAAAAAAAACCCAGTGAAGCAGAATGTTTAATGTAATGAATAACCATGTAAAACATTTTTTAGTGGCTACCTCAGCACCATTCAGAGTTTAATTTACACAGTATCTACTAATGTTTCAAAATAACTTGCATTCCGTAATCACGACAAAGTCACCTTTTATTTTATAGTATGCTCATTTTTCTTGCTATTTATGAGTAACAGCTATCCTTAGCCCTTCAATGATAAATTTTAAACTGTATTACAATGAATTTTTTGGAAGGAAAGGGTGATTTTACAAAAGAAACAGACATGAGAAGTAGAGATTTTATTTACAGCAAATGGGTTGCACTTTAATACATTACTCAAATGTAAATAACAATTTTCACTTTATGAAACTACACAACCCCAAAACACACATGCAGAAGCTCTTTTTAAGTCCAAAAGTGCTCCGTAGTAACAAAAAGGGAAGAGCTTATCAATATAAAAAGGAAGAGAGATTTGTTACTTCAAAGGACATAAATTTAATTTCACTCTGAGTGGCAATTATTTCTGTGGAGGGAGAGACTTTTCACTCATCTGAAGTTTCCACCAAAGCCACCCTAATTTCAAAAGGTAGCCCATTAGGTCCTTCAACGTTCTGTGGGGACCGGGGAGTGGGGGCGACAGAACATGCTACAAATCTAACTTAGCGTGAGCTCACCCAAAAGTGCTTTAAAAACCGGCTCCCCAAAATACCCCCTCCTACCAAATCAAGAACGTGAGTGTGGTGCAAAGAAAATACCAGTGGTTTCAGCCGAGGAGAACTCACTTCTCAGATGGGATGGTAACGTGCTCCGGGTCCCTGGAAGCGTGTGAACAGGCACCGGAGGTTGCGGGGTCTGAGGGAAGAAAAAGAGACAGCGATCAATTTGTTTCAGGTGCAGGGGACTGGGGCGGGGTGCCCCACACGAACACAAACACAAACAGGCTGAGCGTCCCGGGGGAGGGCGGACCTATGCCACCTCACCATTCCCCGCCCCTGGACCCTGCCGCCCACCTCGCACCCAGGGTCCGTACCCTACGTGAAGCAACCCGTCCCAAGGGAGCTGTAGCGGCCGCAGAGGCCGAGCTCGCTATAACGGCCAAGGAGAAGCTACGAGCCTCCGGGTGAGCTGGTGGGAGACACGGTGAAGGGTGCGGGGAGGGAGGTAGTGGAGTGAAACGCTGCTCCCCACTCGCTCTCGAAGGCGGGGGAAGCGGTCTGCCCACCCCTAGCCCTCTCCGGTCCGCGATCACTGTTCCCACCTTCCGCCGCCGCCTTGAGGGAAGCCGGAACGACGGGGGTCACGGCGGGGGTCAGAGGGTAAAGGTCTTGCTCCCAGCAGCCTCCGCGGTGGATACGTCGCCATCTTGGATCCGCGGGACAAGAAAATTCATGCGGTGAGTTTTTGGCAAATTTTCGGAAGTCTGGCAGCGGGGCGCGCGGCTGGGGCAGCGGATTCGGGGCCCCCGCAAGGCGGGGGAATGCCTTGGGGCCGGTCCGGTCGCACCGGGGGTCCGCGGGCAGCGTCCAGGCCCGCCGCTTCCCGTTGCTTTTGTCTCGGCTCCAATCGAGAGAGGGAGAGCGGAGCGGGCGGGGAGGGGGGGTGGCGGCGCTGGAGGGAGGGGGTGTGTATGAGAGGGTGGTGGATAGGACGTAAGGCGTCGCGGCACTTGGGTCGCTGCAGCGGCAGCTCTGGATCCTAGGCCCGGTGCCTTCCGAGGGCTCTGGGGTTTTCCTCAGGCTCCGCTCCCACGGGCTCCCGCCAGCGCGTAGAAGCCTGCGCCGCGCTGCTTCCTGAGGAAGAAGAGAAGGCAGCAGCGGCGGTGGCCAAAGAGCCCCGGCCCGCTTTAGACGGCGCTGCCGCCTTCCCATCAGCTGCAGCGGTCCCTGGCTGTTCACATTTTCTCAATACACGCACATCACCTGCAACTTGTGTGTGTATGTGTGTGTATATGTAAAAGATGGGGGACACTGTACTGGCTAACGGGTCTTAGGAGCCTTCAGGCGTTGGGATACCGAAGGCTTTGGCTCATGGAAGGAGTGCAACTGTGGTGCTTCCTCTGTCGCCGCACCCGGAGGGTGAAGCTTCCGTGGTGTGGTAGAGACTGAGTCCGGGTAGCCCTGAGGTGGCGGAGGAACCCGAAACGCTTATGTCTGTGAAGTTGCTGGCTCTGGGTTTCTACTTCCGCCGGAGCCTCTCCACCTTTTGCTGGCTTGAGTCTAACTTAAAAGTTTTACGGAAGAAACGAGTGGGGTTAAAAAAGGCCTTCCTAGTTCTTAGGTGAGGCTCTAGGAGAGACCCTGTGACTCTTGGTGACTGTGATCGTTTTGGAATGCGAGTTGTAGTCTTTTGTAAAAGCATTTCCAAGATTTTAGAATTTGCATTTATTCCAGGCCCTACGAGTACGGTTATTACCAGCATAAAAGTCTTACATACGGGTACCAAACTCTCGGAAGGAACCTAAACATCAACTTCCTTTGAATCCTAGGAGATGCCTTCACTTTTCAACATCCAAAAGACCAGCTACAACACCTTTTGTTTCATTTTCATAAAACTCTTGCCCAAAGGAGCCTATTCCATTCTTAATCTTCAGGACAGTTTCTAATAATTATGAGAAAATTAAGTACACGCTGATATCAACTGTTAGATTTTTGGCGAAATGGTAGAAGGTATTGAGTTAAAATCTGTTCATGAGGAGGCCATACTTCAATTTAGTTGAAAGTTGAACACATTTCCTGTCATGTTAGATATTAGGAATTTCTAGACCTCTGGAATAAGTGCAACTTTTGGTTTGCTCTTTGAGGCAACAAATTATTGGGGGTGGGGTGGGGTAGAAATTTGAAAGTATTTATGCATTTACATATTACATTTATGTTGAGTCGTTAGGGAATACTTTTTTTTGGGGGGGGGGGACATTTGTTTCCCAAATGTCAATGAACACAGCTCTTTTGCAATTATGGAAGATGACTTTAGTCTAGATTTAAAGGGTGGGTTGAAAGGTTAAATGTCTACTGCATTCAGATGGTCAGATGTCTACATTCCCATTTCTTCTCATTGGAACACTTTTAAGTGGACCAATATCTTTAGTAAGTTTTGTATATAGAACTTCTCTTTAGTTTGTTGTTCTTTTGTAATATTAAATCAGTAGGAAAAATACAAGATTCGCTGTAAAAAGGCAAAAGTTCTCCTGATTCATTTTTCTTGACTTTAAGATCCTCATTTAATTTCAAAAAGTTCCTTTTCTATCATTTTCCCTGAGGGCTTGAATTACTGTGATTTCTGTGAATACTTCATACATTAGAACGGAACCAAGAAACTTTCACATTTTTTTTGCACCCTGAGTAATGCTGCATCAATAAAAATGAATTAACGTAGGTATCATTTGTTGGCAGAAACCTTTTATTCTAAGTAAACTATGTAGAGATATCTGTAACCTAATCTGATTCTCTGGGGGAATGAGAATTGCCTCTATGTTTAACCAAGCAACAAATACAACCTTAAAAAATTTTCAGTTTCTATTACACTTTCATTTTAAGGGAAACTTACATGGTGGAAAAATGAGGGCAAAATATGAGTGACTTACAGCCCTTTCGTTTGCAAAGCACTTTACGTTGGAGATAAAACTCAGATATTCCTCCCAAAGAGAAATAATGAACTCTGTTTTTACTTAATAACTTTGGATATTTAATTTACTGTTTGATTCTTGAGATATACTTTGCAGTTAGTTATAACCTGAATATTTTGTTTCTTCAAAAGTAAATAAATACTTCCAATATATGAGTAGTTTTCCTTAGAAGTGCTTCTAATCCAGTTTTGTTTTATATCTCTTCAATAAATATTAATGTTAAAAGTACTTGTATTGTGAAAGACCCTGACAGAATTTTTCACAGTCTGTAGAAAGTCAAAAGTTTTGCCCTTTTGTTAACAAATTTGCTTAGTAAGATTTTCTGTGTGTGAAATTATGAGTATACATTAATAGTCTGGTAAATAAGTTAACAGTTTTTTTGCTCTTTAATTGCCTTAACATTTTTAACTGTAGATAGTTCATTCTGTTATGATTACATAAAAGCAAACTTTCCATATGCTTGCTTAAAATAGGCATTCGAGGACAACTTATGCAAATAGTGGTAGTCCTAGAAGATAATACTAAAGATTTTGTCACGTAGAGTTCTAGTGGATTTTTGTAGTACAAAGCAAAAGAAACCAAGGTACCAGGTAGGGCAGTTTATAGTCAGTTAATCTGCGTTGCACTGTAATGTTTGAATAGAATTACATACAGTATTGATATCAAGGGACTTAGTGCTATGGTAGGTGTCATTCTGGTTGATTATACAGGTGACTGTCCTTACTGAGCATGATTTCTACTGGTGATACTCCAGTGAACTGAAGTCCATTGTGACTCTTCCCAGATATTTTAAAAAGAGCTGTTTACTAAAATTGCTGTCTGTTGTAGGAAGTCTGTCTTTAAAAAAAAATAGAATAGGCATTAGGATTTTAAGTTTTTTAAATTACTGCATTTTTACCTTGGTTTTGTTCATTGAGCCTTCTCTAGTTTAAATAGTAGATACTTTTTTTTTTTTGTTACTTCGGTTTTTCTGATTGGCTTCCTTTTTTAAACTCTTAAAACATGCTGATATGGTTTGTTCATTTATTTACTTTACTGTTAAGGTGACCTGGAAAAATAATTCCTGATAGTTTTTTTAACAGCTTGTTCTCTGAAATACAGATGCAAAACTCCAGGTATATTACTTGGGGGTATACCGCATTTTGAACTAATAAAATAGTTTACAATTTTCTTTTTTTGGTAAGTCCCATAGCTTATATAATATGGAAATACAAAATGAATTATCCAGGGAGAGGAAACCCAGAAAATTTCTCTTTTCTGGATACACTTTAATATGTTGTATATGTTTAGACTAAGGGCGTGTGTGTGTGTGTGTGTGTGTGTGTGTGTGTGTACACACCAGACCTTTTAGATATTTGCCACCTACCCTGAAAATTTTCCTTTCCTTTTAACCAGTGTGTGTGTTGGGGGCGGGGGGGGGCGGTATTTTTATTATCACTTCTCTGTTTGATTAACTTCTTACTCTCCAAAATTCTTCCTTGGTGTCACTTTTTTAAGTGAAAACTTCCCTGACTCTCAAAATCCTTTTGCTATTCTGCTTTTATTGAATGTGTCCCACTGTATGACAATTTATTATCCAACCCCGTTATTCACCATAATCTTCACTGGACTGCAAGCACCCAAGAGGTAGGGCTTTGTCCTATTTATCTTTATATTACTAGTATTTTTTACAGTGTTTTTGGTATTTAATAGGTTATCAATAAATACGCAGTAAACTGAACTGTTGCCAGATGGTCATTTGACAGTTAATGCTGTCAGAGTGCTCTGTTTCCTAATCCACAGATCAGAAATGGCAGGTAGGAAAGGGGGATGAGAGGAGGGCATCCTGCATTCCTTTACTTTGAGTCCTTAGAGTTTTGCTTCTAAATTACCTAGGGAAAACAGACAATCAGCTTCTTAGAGAAATGTGTGTAGAGTGAATGCAGGGCTAAGGGAAGGACACTAGTAATAAAGTGCCTCTGGCAGAGTGTTTGGATCTGTATATCTCACTGTATTTTGTATGACTAAGGTCATTGATTGGAGGAGATATTTTGTATTTATAGTTACATAGTGATAATATATTTACCATTGCTTAACCATGTTAGTTTATATATGCTATATATACTATATTACCTTGGTGAAATCTGAAAAATTCCAATTCTTAAAAACTTCTGGCCTTCAAGGGGTTGAGTAAGAGATTTTGCACCAGTTTTGCCCCCTCCCCTTTTTTTAAGATACAGAAATAAAAACTAGGTAAACTCCCAGTTGTATTTAATGGAGATGCTAACATTTAACTTAGATTTTAGAAATCTTTTCCTATGTTTTTTTTTGCGTTTTCCAGAGACTTTTTAATGGCTAAAAACTGCTAATATAGAGAGGGTATATGTTTTAAAGAGAATTTAATCCGGTATTCAGGACACCAATCCTTTCTCTGCTTTTACTGAATTGAAATGTCTTTTCTTATATGAAAGTAGATAAGAATGTGCACACTTAGTAAATTTTGTTTTGCCAAAGAATGATAAAATAAGCAAGAGAAAATTATGTGTTCTGGCAATGTAGGTAACAATGAGTAGACGTGCTTTTTTCCAAACATATCGATATACTATTTTTCCATTTATATATTTGGATGTTGAAACATAACCTCATTTTGTATCAGCATCTGGACAAAATGTAATGACTGATTATGTAATACAGTGTGTTTGGGAGAGGAAC